AACAATGAAGAAAAATGAGTCTATTTTCGCCCGGATGTCGAGGCGTGGGCAGAGTGACGTGCTGCGTTCCAAAGAGGGTTTTACACCTGATAAAGTTGTTGGGGAAATAAAGGAACTCTGTGAATGTGACCAATGGAACGTGGGAGAAATTCCAATTTGGAAATTCTTCTAACAGCTGAGGGAGAGAGAGAGAGAGATAGAGAGAGAGAGATAAATATTTTAGAAATATATATTATATATAGAAGTATATGTGTATATGATATATTTTTCACAAATATATATCATGTGAATATGCATACATATATTTGTTTATATATATTTATGTATATAAAATATATACAATAGAGACAGAGATATTTCAGAAATATACTGTATATTATATAAAAATATATATTCGTGTATATGATATATTTTTCAGAAATATATATCATGTGAATATATGCATACCTATATTTGTACATATACTGTATTTATGTATATAAAATAGAGGGACATAAATATTTCAGAAGTATATATATATATATATACAAATATATATGCGTGTATATAATATATTTTTCAGAAATATATACCATGTGAATATATGATTACATATATTTGTATATATATTATGTATATAAAATATATACAATAGAGACAGACATAAATATTTCAGAAATATATATTATATATACAAATATATATGCGTGTATATGATATATTTTTCAGAAATATATCTCATGTGAACATATGCATACATATATTTGTACATATACTGTATTTATGTATATAAAATAGAGGGACATAAATATTTCAGAAATATATATATATACAAATATATGTGTGTATATAATATATTTTTCAGAAATATATACCATGTGAATATATGATTACATATATTTGTATATATATTATGTATATAAAATATATACAATAGCGACACAAATATTTTAGAAATATATATTATATATACAATTATGTCTATATAATATATTTTTCAGAAATATATACCATGTGAATATATGATTACATATATTTGTATATATATTATGTATATAAAATATATACAATAGCGACACAAATATTTTAGAAATATATATTATATATACAATTATGTCTATATAATATATTTTTCAGAAATATATATCATGTGAATATATGATATATATGATAGCTGGTGTGTGCCAGCTGTGTAAATATATACAATAAAGTGTGACAGACACACACATATGCATAACTATAAGTATTTCAGAAATATATATTGTATATTTCAGAAAATCATATATGAATATATGTATGTATACATATATTTCCATATATATTTATATATATATTTACATATGCATATATATATATATATTTATAAATAACATGGGTGAGAAGAGTGCAACGTGTGCCAAATATGTGCGACACCGAACTATAACATTCATGAAGTGGTTTTATACGAGACGTTCAAGTGGATGAACTTTTTTTTTTAATTGTTTGTTTGTTTTTCCAGTTGCCTCGTGCCGTCAACACTCAGGCTCTGAGCAGCGCCGGACTCCTCCGAATGGTCAACAAGGCTGCGGACGCTGTGAATAAGATGACTATCAAGATGAATGAGTCGGATTCTGTGAGTGGATAGAGGGAGGGAGGGAGGAAAGAATAATACAATATATGTTTTTTATCTTAACAGGTTGTTGAGATATTAAAAGTTCAGATTAAGGAAGGAATGACCCCCAGATGACCTCTGGGGTTAATGTGTTTGAGGGAAATGCGACTCTCACAGACGGATTCGAAGGTTTTTCATATAAAAATACGTTGTTTCTGTTTTTTAGTGGTTTGAGGAGAAGCAGCAGCATTTTGAGAACCTGGACGTTCAGCTGAGGAAACTTCACATCAGTATAGAGTCTCTGGTCTGTCACAGGAAAGGTAAACAATCGGGCGGACGCCTGGAACACCAGTCACATTAATCATACCGACTGTAACGTCTCCCCCTCCGTCCCTCCCTCCCTCTCTCTGTCTTCCTCTAGAACTGTCCATCAACACGGCACAGTTTGCCAAGTCAGCAGCCATGTTGGGCAACAGCGAGGACCACACGGCCCTGTCCCGGGCCCTGTCCCAGTTGGCGGAGGTGGAGGAGAAGATCGACCAGCTGCACCAGGACCAGGCCAACGCAGACTTCTACCTCTTCTCCGAGCTGCTGGGGGACTACGTCCGTCTCCTCACCGCTGTCAAGGTACGACCCGGACGTCTCCTGAGCGGCACTACAGTATTGGAGCGTAGGGTTGAAGGGATTTCAGCATCGAAACTTTAGCCGAATCTGAGACAACGCTGCCCCTGGTGTTGAGGCGATGAGACGAGTGATGCAGTTTTTAAAAAAAAAATAAAAAAATGTATTTTGTTTTTTTTTAATTTTATTTTGTGTGGACAGTGCAGGACCAAAAAAAAAAAATTGGTACATTACTGCCACCTACTGACCTGGATTGTGCACATCAGCGCTACATATGTTCCAGATATTACTCCAGAAACAGATTAAACATGTTAAGTAATTTAACGAAAAATGAAAACTTGAACGCTGCCTCCCTTCACTTCCCGCCAGGGCGTCTTTGACCACCGTATGAAGACCTGGCAGAAGTGGCAGGACAGTCAGCTGCTGCTGCAGAAGAAACGAGAAGCTGAGGCCAAACTGCAGTTAAACAACAAACCAGACAAACTGCAGCAGGCCAAAGACGAAATCAAGGAGGTGAGTCAAGGCTACCGGAACGCTTATTTCCAGGTTAAAGTTAAAAAAAATGTCGCTGACCTTGTATATATATATATATACATATACATATAAATATGTATATGTTTTTTATGTATATGTGTATATATGTATATATTTGTATATATGTATATATGTATATATTTGTATATATGTATATATGTATATATATGTCATTTTAGATATATGTATATATATAAAACGACAAGCTCAGTGACTTTTTTTAATATATAAATATATGTCTAGAAATGTGTCTTAAACCCTATGACGTCACACTGCCACTCCTACCTGTACTATACCACCTGAGCTGAAAGGGTTAATCCGTCTGTGACCGCGTAAATACGTCACAGGCGAGTGATAACGGTCTCCGACATCTCAGTGAGGATGTTAGGATGTCAGGTCAGGTCAGATCAGGTAAGACAGGGGGCGCTCTCCTCCTGCTGCGTCTGTGAAAACTCTGGTGAGAACGCCGTTTTGTCAGAACGGATGAACGGAAGCAGAAAAGTAGTTTATTAGAGCGTCACCGCCAAAATTCACCCTCAGCGCTGTCTGTCAGGCTCCATCACACACTCACATTCTCTCACACTGGTGTTCACTTTTCACGGTCGGAGGTCTGTGTACGGAGGGCGGAGGAGGAGCTGTCAGATGCGGGGGGTTTTGGGAGGAGACGGCTGTGGGTGAGGAAGGAGCTGTCAGAGGCTACAGGCGAGGACAGAGCAGAGCAGAGTAGAGTAGAGTAGAGTTACAACCAACATTTTATTTGTGGCCGTAGAGAGAGTTTTCCCGCCTGTCAGGAGTCGGCTTTTTTGTTTCATGCCTTGTCGGCGTCGAAGAGAAAACACAGCAACAGCTTTTTCTGAAGGAGTGAGAGAGAAACGAGTTTTACTTCGTGTCGAGGAGCTGAAGGTGTGGAGTTAGTGGCTGACGTCACGGTCCCCTAATTGTTATAATGAGTTAGTTCGTTAGTTAGCAGTCGTCTGCTCCCTGGTGTTAGCTACAGTCAGTTAGCTACAGTCAGTTAGCTACCGTCCAGATATGTTTTACTAAAAGTGGTCAAAATCTATTAATATTATTGTATATTATTGTAGTAATATTATTTAAATACTATTATTATTAAAATATAAATATATATAACATTTAAGCCAGCATTACATGAACAAGATTACGTTCGTGTAGATTTTAATTTCATGCTTTTTAAATTTTATTTTAATTTTATAAATTCTATACATATAATTATCAACATAATTTCCTTTTAAAATAAAATGTACTTTTTATATTTTATGGCGATACAGATACAAACGAACCCAAATGTAAATCGTGAAAATTAAATTCCATACAGAGGCGCACACGTCGGTAACGTGACATTACACTGCCCTACACTGCCCTCTATGGGCGTAAGTGAGCAACAGCAGTTGTTTCTGTCATTTCGAAGTGACGCCACATTATCTCTCTGTATTTTTGTCTTTCTTACCTTCATCGTTTTATCAATTTTTTTGTTTATTTCTTTCTCTTTCATTTATTTCTATTTTTCTGTTTTTTCTTTGTTTCTTTTTCTGTAATCTGAAAAAAACTATTCCTCAGAAATAGAGTTTAAAAAAGAAAACAAATTGATAGAAGTCACCGTCTGACTGACGTGTGGAAACCTGAGACGTCACAGTCTGTCGTCCTCGATCCTGACTCTGTTGGACGCCCCGACGTCCTCCTGTCTCATTGCTTCCCGTTGGCCGATGTCCCTGATTGTGACTCCTCTTTTTTTCTTGCCAGCCTCTTTAACTTTTGTTGCACTTTCCCTTGTCATGCTTCCCTGCATCCAGGAGATTGATGAGGTAGGACGGGTCTGTGGTTGTGTCTGTCTGTCTGTCTGTCTGTGTCATTCCGTCTTTCTTTTGCCCCGCCCGCTCCCTCGTTT